TATGTTGAGGACACCAGAACTGTGTGCAGTGTTCCAGGTGGGGTCTCACGAGAGCAGAGTAGAGGGGAAGAATCACCTCTTTTGACCTGCTGACCACACTCCTTTTGATGCAGCCCAGGATTCAATTGGGCTGCTAGTACACACTGCCAGCTCCTGGTGAGCTTCTCACCCATGTTTAAGGAAATATAGTAAGTTTACTTATTGCCAACACTGCTGTGAGCCACACATTTCTAACCAGCTCATGAAATTCATTAGACATTGCTTATAAAGTCATTTCAAAAATTTCTGTGAATATTCTTTGCTTATGCTTCTCTATAGGTATTTATGAAATGCTCCACCAAAGAAAAAGCCACAAACATTTAACTACTGAGCTCAAATATCTCTTTAACATTCCCAATAAAGCTCAACTTGAAGATTATTGTAAAGGCAGTTTCCATGTGCTGAAGGCATTCTTCCTGGGAATAAAAGTGCCGATTTCTGTTGCAAACAGCTATTCCAGTGCTAAAGACACTGTACATAGGGAAGCAAGGCAGCCACACACTGAGGTTCATACTCCAATGCACATAAGGCAAGATTACCCGAAAGGATATTTCCAGGTTTTCTCCTCCCCAGATGTCCATGCCACTGTCATACTGCCCGAGCTCATTGAAGTACTCGCGATCCATGGCAAACAGGCCTCCAGCCATAGTGGGTGACCTGAACAGGAACATTGAAAGAACTTCATTTTCTTTTAGAGAAAAAAATCCAGGAATTTTATCTAAATCTGCTAGTCCCAAAGCTCAAATTTAGACCTACATAACACAACTTTAACTCTGCAGACACCAGAAATCATCAGATCACAGTTCTAGTTTCAAAACACTTTCAAAAGCAGATCTGCAAGCCATATTTGTGATCTTCCATTATTCCAATACCCATAAACTTAAGGAAAAAGGATCAAAAAAACCTAAACCAACACCAAAACAAAATTAGAAGATTGTAAGAAAGTAAAAACTAAGTCCATCAAGTTTTCTACAGTGAAACTTAGGAGCTGCCTTCAACTAGCTCTGTCTTTATCACAAGCTATTCTCCCTAGAGTTGTAAGTGTGTACACTTGCAGAAGTTATTGTGTTCTTCCCTCTTTCACAGGGGCAAATTATACAGACCAGGCTTGACTGAACTACATAAAAAA